CATTAGCACTCATGGAAACAACAAACATAAATGGAGCTTGTACACATACATAAATAGCATTATAGATAACATCACAACTGCAATTAACTTTAACATTTTCTTCCCATATTCTAGAACTATTACTATTATAATTACAATTTCTTATCACTACCTTATCAATAAATGCAAAAGCTGATATATCTGAACACCCACCCCTACTAGTGCAAAGTACTCAGACATTCCAAGACTGAGCAGAAACAGATTGAACAAGGTTACCATATGTATAGTTATACCCCACAAAGGCAGAATTTGAACAGGTAGGAAATAAATTGGTCACAGCAAGATCAGGTGCTACTCTTCTAGGAGTCACAGTACTTTGACAGCAGTCCATTCTGGGGGCCATTTCCAAGGCCCTAGACAGCAAGGCAATATTTGCTGCACCACTTTTATGGTGCAGTTTTAGTTGGAGATTCTGGCTGTCTCCTCTCGGTATCTGAATGAACATCAGGCTGGTCAGCATCCACCACGTCCATGGGTTCATCTCATTCTGGCTTTCTTATCACTCGCGTCAAACGTTCTGGCACCCACACCGGTCCGTCAGAATCCTGCGGAAAAACACAAACCACTCCTCGCGTCCGTCATAAGACAGGATGCGGACCCATCCATTGCTTTGTTAAAACATCCTTCCACATCACCCAATCTTTGCAGGGGCCTGCGCCAACAGCATGGCGTTCGGCAGCAGAATGGCCATCCAAATCCAAAATCAAAAAATTAAAAATATAAGTAACTAAAGCCAATTGATGTTTAGGACTATTGGGATATAGGGTGGCTCCTACTCCCCCTTTTTGTTTTATTAATAATGCTTTGAGAGTTGCATGGGCACGCTCTACCACAGCGTGGCCATACCAGTAGAGTGTTTAATTGCAAATTCAGAACAAAACTTATCAAATGCTTTGGCTGTATAGGCAGATCCATTATCAGTCTTATAACACTGGGGGATGCCCCAGGCTGCAAAAGCCTGAAGGCAATGAGATATAACATCTTGAGCCTTTTCCCTTATATAAGCTGAGGCATAAAAAACAGAGCAGGTATCAACAGAGACATGAACAAAAGAAAGGCGACCAAAACTGGGAACATGGGTAACATCCATCTGCCATACATGATTAGGCATAAGACCACAGGGATTAACCCCAAAGCAAGGCTAGGATAAAAATGGGACACAATTTTGGCATTGTCTAATAATACAAAAATATGGTCGGATCCAATTAATATGCTCCAATACCTGTTGGAAATCATTAAGGTTCTTTAAACCATCCATTCTGATTTTTTTTTTTTTGCATTTCCATAAGACTTTCTCACCTTCCTGTATATGTCCTCTGAATTTATCAGTGCCATCTGTCAGGCAAGACTTAATCAATGTCCAGAACCTGACCGTTCCTGGAGGGAGAGGCTCCTGCCGCTCTGCCCTAGCTAAGTCTCTGCCTAAGTGCTCCCATTGTGGCAGGATCAAAAGGCCCTCCTCCAGAAACCACAGCTCGATCCTCTGCACCGCTTGCAAAAACAACAGCACTGTCAGCAGTTTCTGCAATAAAGGCTGCACGTGCACTGAAGAAGTTAATTTGCCCATATTTCTAACACCTCTGATCATCGCTTACCTGCAAACTTGACTGATCATCAAATTGTGAAATTGATCATTAACTGCGAACTTTAATGGGCGCGACCCTGAATGGCGGTAAACTCCGACCCTGAATGGGCGGTAAACCACGACCCTGAATGGTGGTAAACTCCGACCCTGAATGGCGGTAAACCGCGACCCTGAATAGGCAGTAAACACAATGGATGGTGAATGGGTGCTGTAAACACGATTGATCATGAATGGGCAGTAAACGTGATCATAAATGGGTGGTAAACACGATCGTGAGTGGGCAGTAAACACGATCATGAATGAACTTGAATGAATCTGAATGGTCGCTAGACCCCAGCTTTAATGGTCGCTACCCTGCGAACTTGACTGGTCGCTACCCCGCGAACTTGACTGACTTGACTCGTCGCTACCCCGCGAACTTGACTGACTTGACTCGTCGCTACCCCGTGAACTTGACTAACTTGACTCGTCGCTACCCCGTGAACTTGACGTGCACGCTGCTATCAGCGCCTCCCTGAGGTAACCCGAAACCTCAGCTTAAATGCCCCCACGGCTTCCTGAGCAAAAAGCTCAGTTGTAAACTAATTCCCGCTATAAAGGGCTCCCTGAGCGATCTGCTCAGCTTACCTTCCTAGCGTTCACCAGCTGACTTCTATCCGATTCACAGCGCCAGTTATCTTCTATCCGAGTCACAGCACCAATTATTGGGGGTCCTCCCGTCCCATGGAAGAAATCACCCAACACTTGAGAGAGTCTCCAAGGCGCTTTATTCCGATCTTCCGTTGTGACTGTTATGACCGTTATGACTCTTACACTCCAGCCCCTCCCCCGCCAAGTCCCCGCTTAACTGTCAAATCTGTCCAATCAGCTTAAAGATACCCAAGGCACACCAATCAGGGCAAAGGGCCAATCACAGGGCAGGAAATTGTCAGTGTCCCCAACAATCTTCTCATCCAGCTCAGTTCCCCAGGACTACCCCTGTGTCCATGGGCTTCCTGTTCCCTCTCTCCAGACCTCTCCAAACCTTTGGTTTGCTGGAGTAACCCTGGGGGCTAGAACATAGCTCAGCCCAAATCCAAGTGGACACATCAATTCAGGCAACCATGAACTCCACCTCCAGCCCACTTTCTCCTCTCCCTGGAGGTCCTGGTTTCTCTTGCCGAGGTCCCCAGTGAGCTGCAGGTGCCAGTCCACTTCACAGGCACCGGGAATCTTAGGAGAATGAGGGTCCCAAGCTGTAAGAGGTAGCATACAAGACCTGGGATACCACTGCCTTGGCTGAACCTGAATGGGGAAGGCAGCGCTGTTTCTGGAGGCCCAAGCACAGCCAAATGCCTAGTGTGATGCTTTGTCCTGATTGTGTGTGTGTGATGCCTCATCCTGACCCTCTGTGTGTGTGTGTATGATGCCTCACTGTGACCCTGTGTGTGATGCCTCATCCTGACCCTCTGTGTGTGTATATGATGCCTCACTGTGACCCTGTGTGTGTGTGTGATGCCTCGTCCTGACCCTGTGTGTATGTGTGTGATGCCTTGTCCTGACCTCTGTGTGTGTGTGTGTGATGCCTCATCCTGACCCTGTGTGTATGTGTGTGATGCCTTGTCCTGACCCTGTGTGTGTGTGTACTTGTGTGAGATGCCTCGTCCTGACCTCTGTGTGTGTGTGTGATGCCTCGTCCTGACCCTGTGTGTATGTGTGTGATGCCTTGTCCTGACCCTCTGTGTGTGTGTGTGTGTGATGCCTCGTCCTGACCCTCTGTGTGTGTGTGTGTGTGTGTGTGTGATGCCTTGTCCTGACCCTGTGTGTGTGTGTACTTGTGTGAGATGCCTTGTCCTGACCTGTGTGTGAGATAGACGCTTCATCCTGGCCCTGTCGTGTGCAGTGGTGTGTATCCTAAGACCTGATCCCCTCACTAAGCCTGCACAATGCTACCTACAGTGTCTGCTTGGCCACTCTGCCCTCTGTGCCTCTGCTCCTGCCTCCCATCCTTCATCCTTCACAGCTCTTTCCCTAGGGCATGCTTCCTCTCTGACTCCTTTCCTTACCTGAACATCAGGCTTGTGGCAGCACTTAAGATGAGCTGCTTCAAATCATGCTGTGGGTAGCCCTGGTCATTCCGCCTCCACTCAATACTAGCTTCCAGCTAGCTCACCTTGCCCCCTCCTGGCCACAGCCAGTTTCTTTCCTAGGACCTCTGGGAAAGGATCCTTGCTGGCTGGGTTCCTCCCCTGGGGTGCCTACACAGGGACTGGCCCTGTGCAGAGACAAGGGTTGGGCCACTTAGGAGCATAGGTCCTGGCCAAAGCTGGCACTGGCCCTGGATGTCACAGGATCTCTGACACATGACTCTAGGTTGCTTTCACACCACCAAATCTTTTTATTAAAGGATTTTTTTTAAAAAAATCCTTTAGATATTTAGTTTTGTGGAAGTTAGAATTAGAGGTCTTCTCCTGCTGGCTCACACCCCAAGCGCCCTTGCTGTGACCAACAGGGGTTTGTGGGTCCTAGGCAGAGAGGGTGGTGGGCACCGCAGCTGTCCCCTGCTGCTTCCTGGAGTGCACAGTATGGGGAAGCTGGACAGCAGGTGGAGGGGAAGCCTTATGTCTCCAAGTGGGGACCTAACTGCTGCTCCAACCGCCTGTCCCTGGTCATTATGTGTGTGCAAGCAGGTGCCAGCACAGGCAGAGGCTCCCTGAACTCTCTCTGGGACTCAGTGAAAGTCTCTGCTGGGTGTTCAATGTGGCAGGAAGTATGCCCCTCAGAGACAACCTCGCCAAAACCTGAGGAATGGGGAGTTGGAAGTAGGAGCCCTGGGCAGAGGAAGGGACACAAGGGGCCACTGCGGCCTCAGCAAGTGCAACCCACTACGCAGCATAAATCCCGGGGCTGGAGGGACCTCCCCAACAGCAACGCCTCTGGACTTGGGGACCCCTCCGGGCAGTACAAGTGCTGTGGCTGGGAGTACTGAGGGTGGTGGCTAGCGGACACGGACAGCGGCTCACAGAAGCGGGCGCCTCCCCTGCATCTGCATTCCAGCAAGCATGGAGGCCAGGACCCCTCAGGAGAGGCTGCCTGTCTGCCGCTTCCTCCCTAGGTCGGCCTCAGGAGCAGGCAGGGCCCGCCCGGCAGCCCCTCCTCCTTCTCCACAGCCCCGACCCTCCGGCAGCGGCGTCCGCCCCCAAGGGCCTGAGCTGCAGCCCCGGAACCTTGGTGACCACCCCCGGCCTCCCTCGGCTCGCGGCCGCGAGGTCTGCGGATTCCTCCTCACGCCGCCGAGGCCGCCCAAGGCGCGCCCCCAGCCCCAGCCGCGACTGGAACCAATGCGCCTGCGCCGAGAGCGCCCTGGGCGGGGACGTCGGGGTGCCCGCCCCTTCCCGGCTTGCTCCGCGGCCGCAGGCGCTGACGTGGCTGCCGTCAGAGCCGCCATCTTGTGGGAGCGCAACCAACGCCTGGCTCGGAGCGGCCGCCGCCGAGGTGAGGGCGCCGGGCCGGGGCGCGGGCTGCGGGGCCCGGGGGCTGTGGGGCGCGCTGGGCTTCCGCGGCGGCGCGGGGGTGAGGTGGGCGCGGCCGCGGGTCGGGGGTCGAGCAGGCCGGGCAGGGAGGGACGGGCGCCCGGGAGCTGTGCGGCCGGCCCCGGCGTCGCCCCGCGCTCCGCCTGCTTTCCCTTGCTGGCCGCGGCCCGCGTGTCCGCGGGGGGACGCCGGCTCCGGGGAGCATGGCGTGGCCCTTCCCTCGCCTTCCCTCGCGTCTCCGGTGCGCAGGAGGCGGCGGCGGCGGCCCGGGGGCCGCGGGGTCTCTTCCGCATTCCGGGCGCGAGCGGGCGCGCCCGTCGCCGCGGGGCCGGGAAACTGAGGCTCGGGCGGCCCGAGACGCCGTCAAGGTCACGCAGGCGGGGACGCCGGCGCCCGGCTTCTGAGGACCCAGCCTTGCCGGCGTCCTCCCCGTCCTCGGGGCCGCCGGGGGTGGGCGCTGTGCGGGCCGGGGCTCGGCGGGGCCCGAGTGGCCAGGCGGAAGGTCTTGTGTCAGCAGGTTCTGCCCACTGGCTCCGGCGTTTCCGCAGTGCGTACGCAAGGAGTGCGGGGTGCTGCGGAGGGAGTGGGGTGTCTCGGGACAGCGAGTGGAGGGTGGAGGAGCTCCGGTGTGGCTTGTGCGGCGCCAGCCCCCCACCCTGTGGAGAGAGCCTTGTGTGGTGGGCTCGTGACCACCTGCTGAACCACCGCTGCCGCGATTGACAGCTTTCAGTTCCAAATGGTTTGGTTTGCTGATCCCACTCAGACGGCCCAAGGCGTGGAGCGAGCAGGCATCAGGGCTGGGGGTCAGTTGGGGGCCTTCATTGAGAGGGGGCTCTCTAGGGGCCTCCCGTTGATCTTTTACCATCACGAAATTGGGGTGCGAGGAAATGAGATGCACATCTCGCGGTTATTTGGGAGAGAATGTTGGAAATCCCTTTCTCCGAGATGTTAAGTTAGATACAAGTCTGTGTGTGTGTCCATCCTTGGTGTGGATGGTTGCTAGGCACGCTCTGAGGTGGTCTTTTGGGAAAGGCGCTCCTTGTTCCTGGGAAGCGAGAGGTTACTAGTGGGCAGGTGTGCCTGTTGGTTTGTGAGAGTCGTGGTCACTGCTCCTGGGACACCTGGGCAGCTTCCTCAGACCCACCTCTCTGTAATTGTACACACTCTGATGTGCAGTGTGGCTTTCTGGTTGCAGGGTTCTGGAAGAAAACAGCTTTTGAAGTAGTGCTGGTGCCCTGACAGGTTCATCTGTTCAAAGTGCTGTGCGGTTTGGTGCACATGCACGGGCTCTTTACGCCTGGAGGCCTGCTCTTGGTCCTCTCCAGGCTCCCCTTCCTCAGCCTTGGAAGCTGCAAACAGGGTTGGTGGGTTGCTTTTTACCAGTCCTGGTCATGGGGAAGAGGAGAAAAACCTCTAAGGTGACAGTGTTTTATAAACAGGAATGGAAGGCCTAGGACAGACAGTGTACGTGGTGGTCCACGCCCGGCATCCTTCGAAGACCGATCCTAGTTGGGTCCAATTGTCCTAACAGACAACTTCCAGCTTTTAGGTTCCTGTACTTACTTGTTTGTTCGTTTGTTTGTTTAAAGGCAGAGTAACAGGGAAAGAGATCTGCCGTCTGTCAGTTCTCTCAACAAATGGCTGCTACAACTGCGGCCGGTGCAAGCCGGTCCAAGGGTCCATCTGGGTCTCCCACGCTGGTGGCCACAACTGAGCCATCATCCACTTCCCTAGTGCCTTAGCAGGGAACTGGATCAGAAGCAAAATAGCAGGGACTCAGCTTCACACTCAAAGGGTCCTAAGCAGTGGCTTCAGGTGCTGCTGTGCTACGAGGTGTACAGGCCTCAGTCAGTGTCTAGATGCCTATCAGGCCCACTCCTGAAGCATGAAGGCAGTTCGGTGGCCTTGCTATCTGTTGAGAGCAGAGTGCAGGACAGAGTACGTTTACCAATGATACTGCTTGCTCCCTGCATGAGAACGCAGTTCCTAATCAAATCTGTCCATTTATAGGAAGAATAATGTTTGTCAAATTGTGTGACACTTTGCTTGAAATGTTCAGAGCTTTTAGCATCTCTTGTGTGTCTAGTTACCTGGAGAGGAAATGGAATGCCGCTCCCTGGGGTCAGGGCTGGACCCGTGCTGTTCACCTTGTGGAGCAGCGCAGCACTTTCACCTGTCTCCACCCTGCATTTCCGCGTTGTCCACACCGAGTCACTTGCCTGCACTTTTCAAACGACATACATTCATTGTTGATTTGATAGAAAAGCTTGTCTGAGCAAGTAGGATGGGTGCTGTTTTACTGCCAGTCACCCATGAGGTCTCCAAGGAAGATAATGGAATGGAAAAACCCCTCTTAGTGAGCATGAAGGTGCAGGGAGAGGCAGGAGCTTGACCCTAGTGGGAGTGTCACCTGACAGGTGACCTTTGACCAGACTTGTGGAGGAGTGAGGGATTGTGCCAGAAGCTGCTTGCGGGTGCAGGTGTGGGGCTCTGATGCTGGGGGACTGTGCAGTTCCCAGAAGGGGATTGGGAGACAGCAGTGATGACACACCCTGGGTGACTTTCCTGTTGGTGGGAAGTCCTTGTGTCAGTCTCTAACTAACCCTGATGTGTTTTCTGTACAGACAGCTGCGTGGGGGGCATAGTTATCAGATGTTCTCAATTTTCCAAGAACGCAGCTACCTTGTGCATCAGGGGTGATTTGTTCTATTTTCTTGCTTTCCAGGCAGAACATGCCTTGGAGGATTTGGAAGTGTGGTCATGCCTGCTCCTGTTAGGACAGTGCTAATTGCTGTGTTGTACAGAGCATGCGTTTCCCTTTGTGGTTGTGTGTGCTTGTTGGTTAGGTTGTCTGTTGGCTTCCTTCACATTAATAGAGGTTGTGTTCTGAAACATGCCATGGGTACCATGGAGGACTGGCCCTTCTGGCTGTTGTACTGAGAATGGAGTATGTGTGGGGGTGGGGGTTGAGGATGTAGGTGTCCCCAGAGTTAGACTTTGAGGAACTGGGAGGAGTCGCTGGCCTTAATAGTGGGAAAGGTGTGCCCAGCTTGCCCAGAGCTGGTGGGGGTTAGTGACAAGTCTTAGCTGGCTCCTGGGTTTTCTGTCTCCTGCAGAAAAACAGTTCTTTGCTCAGAAGACAAAATGGGGCCACGTTCCTTTTTAAATTTTATTTTCAGAATGAAAATTCCCAGGGTGGGTGTTTAGTACCAAGATTAAAATGCCTGTTAACACACTAACATCCCATATTTGGGGGAGGGGGAGTCCCTGGGCTAAGTCATCTATTTCCTGCTTCATTAACACCTTTGGAGACAGCAGGTGACTTAAGCAGTTGGATCTCTGCTGTCTATGTTGGAGCCCTAGATTGATTTTCTAGCTCCTGGCTTAAGCACTCACCCTGTGGAGAAGGTACCCCACTGCAGGGCCAGGACCTTGGGTTTGCCTGCCACACCTTGTTGAGACCTTGGGCTTGCCTGCCACACCTTGTTGAGAAATCAGGTTTGTCATCAGGAGGTGGGAGGGGGGCAGGGTCTTTTGTGAGATTTGGGCTCTGCCCACACAGTACCCCCTTGCCCCGACTGGATGGGTTGAAAAGGACAGAGTGGTTCTGGGAGGCTGGGCTGGCACTGGGCTCCAGTATAGGGTGGTGCAGACTTGTTTGACCCTTGGATTTTTCCGGTGGCAGATCCTTCAGACTAACTGTGGCACGGTGAGGACAGCTGTGCTCTTCTTCTGGGACATGATGCCTGGGGATACAGCGAGGTCAGCTAAGCAAGGGTGAGCCAGACCCAAGGTGGTGTGCAGAGCAGCCCTCAGCTGGACACTCCATCCCCAGCAGGCACCAGCCAGACACCCTGAGCCTGTACTTTGCCTCACTAGTGCTTTCTTTGAGCTCCACAGAGACCATGGTCTCAACTACCCATACAGAGATTTCAGGACATAGGAGTGTTTGGTGAGACTTTAAGGCCAGTGGCATAGCACTTGATGAAATGCAGCCAGGGGACATGGCACTTGGGTGTTTGGATACCTGTAGTCCAAGAACTCACTGGATGGAATGACATGGAAGAGTCTTATTGCTATCCACACACAGACTGATTTAAGGATTTCACTCTAGATTTTAAGTAAGGAGCAGTTTAAGTTGAATTTCATTGAATACGATTAGCCCTCTTCAGAATCACATCTGAGGGCTGGTGTTGTGGGACAACTGTAAGCAGTGTTGACACTCTGTGTTGGAGCACTGATTCAAGTTGCATGCCATCCAGCTTCCTGTTAATGGTGCCAGTGAAGTGGTTGTTGGCTCAGGTACCTGAGTGGAGCTCCTGACTCATGACTTCAGCCTAGTCCAAACCTGATTGTTGTGGACACTGGTGTCCATAGGATGGATGTGTTGCAAGGAGGGAGGAGCTTTAGTGCCTACGGATTCCTACAAAACATCCATAATGTTGTATGCTAAAAAAGACTTATTTTTATTGGAAAAGCAGACTTGAGGAGAGAAGAGAAGAGGAGAGGAGAGACTGACAGAGCTCTCTGTCTGCTGATTCATTCCCCAAATGGCTGCAGCGGCCAGAGCTGAGCTATCTGAAGCTGGGGGTTTCTGGGTCTCACGTAGGCACAGGGTCCCAAGGCTTTAGGCCATCCTCCACTCCTTTCTCAGTCCACAAGCAGGGACTGAGATCCAGAGGGGAGCTGGATGGGAAATAGAGTAGCAGGAACACAAGCCAGCACACATTTAGTATGCTGTGCTAGGAGGTCGAGGATTAGCCAGTTAAGCTATGGCACGGGCCCCCAGATGCAGTTTTTGAACATTATGACATGACCCTATCATACATGAAAGTGGGGAGCCCCTGTGAAGTCAGAATGTCCAGGAATGAACTGGATGCTCCTGGACTTGTTTGTGAAGTTGGAAAGTTGTTGCTCTTCAATGAAACTTTTAAAGAAAATGTTTTACAGGGTACATATTTTCCATTCAAAGTCATTAATTTTGCTATTTTTCAAAACAGATATTAAAGTTTTATTCTTTGCAAGGCAGATATTCAGAGAGAGAGGAAGAGAGATCTTCTAGCTACTGCTTCACTCCGCAAATGGCCACAGTGGCATGAACTGGACCAGGCTTAAACAGGTCTCTGGCATGGGTCACCTGGGCCACCTGCATCTTGCCTGGCTTCTTCATAAGGAGCCAGATTAATAAGTGCCTTAGGGGTGCTGGCATCACCGGTGGAGGCTTAACCTACAAGCCATGATTCTAAACTGTCCCTGGCTTAGCATCTGAGCAGTGCAAGTAAAAGAACCTGGTTTCCTGGAGGGGGAGCAGCCTGACTCCAGGCACCTGGAGAGGTTCTGTGAAACAAACTCAGGCTCATACTGTACGGGGAATACAAAGGGCTCTGAGCTGGTTCCTGAGATCTAGAGGGGACAAGAGGCAGTGTGGGCTGAGTCCCTTTCAGCAGCTAAGCCCGTAAGATTGGGTATACTTACTGAGGTGAACAGGTTTGAATTCAGGTTTTTCCTAACCCTATTCTGGGTGACTGAAAGGTAGCAGGGTGGAGCCAGCAGAGCCGCATTCCTGCTTCTCTGCTGTTTGTCCAAAGGCCAGGAGAGAACCTGCAGGCTGGCAGGAATTGGAACTTGTGTCTCCACTGCTTACCTAGTAGCTGGATAACTCAGGTGAACCTGAAAAACAGGTTTGGCTTGTGTGCAGGTGACATTGTAGAGGAAATTGTATGAGCTCAGGGGGTCACTGGGCGCTCACTCCCACCCGTGCAGGGATTCTGTCCAGTATGGGCCTGCTTCACCTGTGTAGACAGTAGGGCAAGACTGTGTGCTTGTCAGGCTCACCTGTCCTGGCTCAGAACCACTTCTCCAAGAATGAGGACGGTGCTCAGACTGCCAGTCTCACAAGCCCTGCTATCTAGGGGTGAGGGCAGCAGAGGAGGCCAGGCCCAGTCCATTGGGTTCCGGGATTACAGGCAGCGCTTGTTGCCATGCTGCTGTGTGCAGACAAACATTGGTGAGGTCCCTGCCTCTGGGAGTGTGGATCCCTGCCCCACACCCCTCTTGCCTGTTGTTTATCTTGTTGGTGAACGTGGGACTTGAGTGTTAAGCCCTGCAGATACCTCTGCCTCACCTGCCTCCAGGCTCAGCTGCTGCCTCTCCCTCCTCAGTTGGCATTCACTGTAGACCTGATGAAGGGCTTCTTGGTCCATAAGTCCTGCCTCAATTTCCCAGAGTCCAGCGGTACATTGACAGAGTGGGGACCATAAGCCCTATTCACTATCTGGGCAGACAGTTGAGGACTATTCAGGGCCTTGTGGCTCTGTATCCGCATAGGAGACCCGGGGAGGCTCCTGGCTGGCTCAGCTCCGGCCAATTTGGCCACTTTGGGAGTGGGCCAGCGGATGGAGGATCTTTGTGTCTCCCTCTCTCCGTCAGTCTGCCTTCAAAGAGGCAGTGGCTTGACTTGTGGAGGCCTTCAGGCCAGAACCCATGAACCTGTTGAAGTCTTTGTGGTCTCAACCCAGGAGTGCCTGCCCCATGTCTAGTATTCTCCATCAGGCAGGTATCAGGTTCCAGTCTCCTCTCCCTTCCTTGTTAGTGGATGGAGGCTGGTGTGTCCAGACGACTCTGTGTACTAGAGAGCAAGCTTCCATTCAGTGGGTCACAACCTCAAGGGCCGGGCCCCAGGGCTGGGCCAGGTGAAAGCCAGGTGCTGCATCTGTGGGAGGGTACAGGGGCCCAGGGACTGTGATCATCATCTTTCCTGGGTGCATTATCAGGGAGTTAGATTGGAGGTGGAGCAGCCGGGACTGAACCCATGCCCATTTGGGATGTTGGTGTTGTAGGCAGTAAATTAACCCATCACTCAACAATGCTGGCACCAGGTTTTCTCACGTTTCAGAATTTGTGTTTTTTGAGTATTTAATGCAGTTTCAAACCACAAAGAACAACGGTGTCCAAGGGCAGACACCAACATGAAGGATTCTGCTATCTGGTGGCAAGACAGGGATCACAGAGACATTGAGAATGGGAGGAAGGGCAGCCGATATTGGGGCACAGTGGATCGAGCTGCTGTTGTGACCCTGGCATCCCTGAGAGCCATGCTGAGCCCTGCTGTTCTGCTTCTGCTCTGCCTTCCCACTGACATGGTCGGGAACAAAAGAAGATGGCCCTGGATTTTGGCCCCTGCCACTCCACCAATGTGGGAGTCCATGCCAGTCAGGAGTCTAACCATTGCGGAACTGGCCATGTGAGGAGCAGCGTGTGCTGCTGTCTCAAGAGAGCCTCTGTATGCACTAAGCAGGGCCTGCTTGGTCACTAAAGCCAGCGAGCCAAGTGTGCTGATCCTCCAGGAGTGTGGTCAAGTGTCCAGCAGCAGGTGGGGCCCTTGCATATGCAGTCAGGTGGCTGGCAGTGTTGGGTAGTGGGGCTTCTGGGAGGAGTCAAGCTACAGGTTCTGCCCTGGTGAGTCCATGAGTGCCACTGTGCAAGAGGGTTTGGAGTGGGCTTCTGTCCTTTCATATGAGGCTATATCTGCAGTCTTCAGGGCTGAGAACAATAGCATCTGCTGTTTCAGCCACCCAGGTAGTATTGTCACCCTTAGTGGGTTAGTTACGTCCTCACCAGACACAGCAAATTGCATTTTTCCAGTGTTTTTTGGAAAAGACCCCTATCGGTGGTGTGACCAGAGCTTCCTGGAAAGGTCTCCAAGTGTCTTGGACCGGGCTCTGATAATTTTGTGTCCCAGGATTGGTGTCCTACTAGTAGACCATGGGGCTATGTGTGGGGTCAAATGTGCTGTGTGTGTGTGTTACGGAGCGTGATGCCTAGGGTCTTGTTCTGTTGAGTACTGCCTGAAGGGTGCAAATGAAACTCCTTGGCCTGGTAGGATCAGTTGCTTTGGTCTCCATGGTGTGGAATCTTCTCTGGCTCTGTATGTGTGGAGGTCTGCTTAGATGTTGGTTTTTGTTTTTCTGGCTTTTTTTTTTTTTTTTTCGGGGAGTTGGGTAATTCTGAGATTGCAGAGAAACCTGTCATGTCCCTTGGAAAGCAGTTTGGAATTGCTTCCTGACAGACTGAAAATCCCCTTTCTCCAGGGTATCTAGATTCCCCCTCATCCAGCAACTGAAGGAGTCTGAATGGCTAGGCAGGCAGGATTCCTTTTCTGTGGTTGGGACCCTGCCTTGGGATGGGAGGGGTCTGCATCGCTGAGAGGGTGGCCCCTAACTGGCAGCTTATAAGGTACCTTGTCTTCCCAGGTCTCTGGCTGTTGCAGCTTCCACTTGTCCACAAGCATGGGGAACATCTTTGCAAACCTCTTTAAGGGCCTTTTCGGCAAAAAGGAAATGCGCATCCTCATGGTGGGTCTGGATGCTGCAGGGAAGACGACAATTCTGTACAAGCTGAAGCTCGGTGAGATCGTGACCACCATTCCCACTATAGGTGAGGAGCTGGGCCCTGGGCACAGGCTGGGGAAGTACATGCTGGGACTGATCTCCCAGGAGACACTGCTTCCACTCTGCCCCCAGGTTTCAACGTGGAGACTGTTGAATATAAGAACATCAGCTTCACAGTGTGGGATGTAGGTGGCCAGGACAAGATTCGGCCACTGTGGCGCCACTACTTCCAAAACACCCAAGGTGAGAGTGGGTTGTGTTCTCTAGTGCTTGAGCTGTCCAGTGGAGCATCGGCCCAGGAGGAGTCCCATCCTGCAGCCACTGTGGGCTGTGTTGCCCTTCCACAGCGGGGAGTGGGTATCTGGGCACTGTGGTTACAGGGGCTGTGTTGCAGGCTTGATCTTTGTGGTGGACAGCAATGACAGAGAACGTGTGAATGAGGCGCGGGAGGAGCTCATGAGAATGCTGGCTGAGGATGAGCTGCGGGACGCAGTCCTCCTAGTGTTTGCCAACAAGCAGGTAGGCAGGCACTTGGCCCAGCTCTCCCAGATGGGTCCTTTGGCAGAGTGGGAGGGGCGTGGGAGTGGCCTAAAGGATTACCTGGGCCTTCTGCCCTAGGGATAGGCAGCTTGTGGCCCCTTCTGATGGCAGCCTCACTCCCCCTCTCACCCCCCAGGACCTCCCGAATGCCATGAATGCAGCTGAAATCACAGACAAGCTGGGGCTGCACTCGCTACGCCACAGGAACTGGTACATTCAGGCAACCTGTGCCACCAGCGGGGATGGGCTCTATGAAGGACTGGACTGGCTGTCCAATCAGCTCCGGAACCAGAAGTGAATAAGAACCCCCTCCCACTTCCTCCTCTCCACCCTCTGCTTTCCTCTCATGTGGCAAACGTGTGACTCTGTGGTCCTGAGTGCCAGAAGCTGCCTCCATGGTGGGTTCCAGTGTGCCTCGCGCCACCTGTCCCTGAGCAGATGCAGCCTGCAGCCAGGTTCTTATTTAATGTAAATAGTTTGTTTCCACTGAGGCAGTTTCTGGTACTCCTATGCAATATTACTTAGCTTTTTTTTTTTTTTTTTTTTAATTGTAAAGAAAATCAACTCACTGTTTAGTACTGAGAAGGGACTGAGGCACATTGGTACCGGGCCTCCAGGAGTCTGTTTCTGTGTTAAGAGCTGGACTTAACCCCTGGGCACTAGATCTGTTAAGATCCCACTTGGTGGTTGGTTTGAATCCAAACTCAGTGCATTTTTAAAAAAAGTGTAAAAATAAAGATGAGAACATGTAAACACACAGCAGGGAGGCTGCCTAGTGTGGGGCTTGCAGGAACAGGCCAAGCACCAGTTAACGGGATCACCTGAAAGATCCACTCTGCATGGTCACAATAGATCCCTGTGGTCATCCTGCATTCCACAGCATTGTGCTTGTACTTGTGCTTACATGGTCACCTGGGCAGGGGGCCCCAGGAGGCCACATGCCCAGCTATTCCCTCAGGCCCCCCCCCTTGGTAAGCACGCAGCTGGAGCTGGAACATGTTGTTCCCAGCACCCACTCATGCACGTGCTGACACGCTAGTCTGGGGTCTCACCAGCAGAAGCACATGTCAACCAAGGGTCCTACAGCCACAGCCCCTGGAAGCACCCCCATCTCCATGTGTGAAGTAGCTTTCTCTCCCTCAGCCTGCAAGGGTCCGATTTGCCATCGAAAAAGATGACCTCTACTTTTTTCTTTTGTATTTTGATAAACACTGAAGAAGCTGGAGCTGTTAAATCTATCTTGGGAAAACCTCAGAACTGTTTTATTTGGTGTTGTGGAACCTCTTAACTGCTTTCAATACACGATTAGTAATCAACTGTTTTGTATACTTGTTTTCAGTTTTCATTTCGACAAGCACTGTAATTATAGCTATTAGAATAAAATCTCTTAACTATTCCACTGGCTCTATCAGTGTTTAATGTCCACCACTTTATCCCAGCCTGAATGACCACCTCACAAACTGGCTCATGTTTCAGTCCCCCCACCTAGTGATAGGGCTGACTGGCCACTGTGACCTGCCCTCCAGGAAGGGGCTGCTAAGTGGATGTTGCACAGGCTTCATTCACAGAGAGCTCCCTACAGTCTCCACACCCCTTATTCCTCACAAGGTCTTATGGTATAACTAGGGGCTCCCTTGGGGTGTGAGCAACCATCATGACTCTAGATCCATAGCAGTCCACAGGAAGGACAGGCACTGGGGCCACCTTCCATTCTGTGACAACATACTTTCCTTTTAATAGAACTACAAAGAGTTGATGTAAAGAAAAATAGAAGTAAGTACACTTGATCACAGCTAGATCCTTCAGGAGGGCCTGGGGCCACTGCAGCAGAGACAGGATCCAGAAGGGGCCATGCTCCCTGCTGGGACACAGGCTTCCCTGTGGAGGGCCAGGGAGAACACCCTGGAACCTAGAGAGTCCACACACAGCATGCCCCTCCCTGTGGAGCCAGCTGACTGGCTCCTGAAGCCAGAAACAAAGGGGGTGAGCTAGTGACAGGCGGGGGCAAATCTCAGAGGTCGCGGACATCCCACCGGTGGCCAGAGGGGCTTCTCCCAGCGTCCCTGTTGTCGCACTTCCTCTTCTTGCGGCAGGGAGAGGAGCTGGAGTCATGCTGGCCATGTGTGGGCCTGGACAAACAGGGACAGGAAGGGTCAGTGTGGGTGGGTGGCTGCCCATCTGCCCCTCTCCAGTCGCCTCCCTCAGCTGTCTTACCGTGAAGGGGAGGAGGAGGAAGAGGAGGGCGTTGCCTCCCTCCTGTGCGCTCTGTCTTTCTTCTTCTTGTGTTTCTTGTGCTTCTTCTTCTTTTTCTTCTTCTCTTTCTTGCTTTTCCTGTGGCTCTCAGAGCTGCAAGGGGCAAGTGCAGAGAGCAAGCGTAGGGGTGCTGTCCTGGTGGGGGAGGGATGCACTGCCACCCAATCGTCCCCAGCAGAATCAGCACGGACCCCTGCACCCTACCCCTGGCTCCTCCAGGCTGAGGACAACCCTAGAACCCCTTACCCACAAGCAGGGGCCCCTCTGGGAGCACGGGCCCCAACCCTGGATCCCACTCTTCCTCCCCTTCCGAGTGAACTCCTATGCCGCACCCTGAACCCCCTCTAGGCACACAAATCCCCGAGCCAAGGTTCCTTACTCAGGCTCTGCCTGGTCCTCGGCACGCGGTTTCCTCCGAGCTGAGGCCGGGGAGGTCCCCGGCCCGCCATTCTCCACGCGATGGTGCTGCGGGGGAAGGGGTGCTGTAGGGCAGGCGCGTGCGGGGCGACCCTACCGCCCGGGGACCCCCGCGTCCGGCTGGGGCACAAGGGGTTACCGTGAACACCGACAGCCCCAGCTTGGCAGCCTCTTTGTCCTCCCGGGACAGCGCCACACGGCCCGCGGAGCCACTGCGGGGACACGGCGGTGAGGACGCCCGGACCCCCGCCCAGCTCCCGCCCCTCCCCGGGACGGCCGCACCTGGCGCTGCCGAGCCCCAGCAGCCGATCCACGCCCTTCTCCTCCGGGTCGCCTCCTTCCCTCTTGCAGATCTCCACGAAGTCCTGCGGGAGGGCAGAGAGCCGAGGGCGAGGCCCGCGCCTGCCGCGCCCGGCCCGGCCCCCGGCCGCCCCCGGCCCCGGTTACCTCCTTGCTCAGGCCGGTGGGCTGCTTCCTCACGTTCCTGTAGCCTCTGCGGGGGCCGGGGCCGGCGTGAGCGCGCGCCCCCGACCCCGGCCCGCCCGCCGCCCGCGCCCGCGCCCACTCACAGCGCGGCCAGCAGCGCCTCGCGCTCCGCCTCCCGCACGGCCGCCAGCTCCTCCTCGCGGCTCGGTCCGGCGCGCGGCGCGCGGCCCTTGGCGTACCAGGTGAGGTCGCGGCCCTTCTGCCAGCGGCCCACCGGTGCCATCAGCGAGTTGCCCAGGTAGTTCTCCCGCTGCTTGTCGGTCTTCACATCCTCCCAGTTAAACTGGTCCTGCCCGCCGCGCACTCCGCCGCGGCTCGAGCCGAACATGGCGGCCGCGTCCCGCGCCCGCAAGCCCCCGGCCGCTCTCAGGCCTCGGGCCGGCCGCCGAGACGTCACGCCCGCGCCGTCGCGCCAGCCGCGTCACGCCAGGACCCGCCCAGCGCTCCTCCTGGCTCGCCCGCCCCCTGCTCCCCGCGTGCGCCTGCGCATAACTCATCCACTTTCGTTCTTGGACTTGGATCACAGCCCCGCCACTGCGCCTGCGCAGTGCCCCTCCCGGCTCCTTCCCTCGCAATCCTATCCCCGTCTGCAGGCTTCGCCCTTTAGACTCATGGAAAAGCCCAAGGCCGGAGCGCAGACCTTTTGGCGTTCACCGTTGGGACCTGAACACAAGTTCTGGAAAGTCCAGCGAGTGCGACTGCATCCACACTTCGGTCCCAAGCGTCACCACTGCGTTCAGATGTGACTCTAGGGAAGCAACAGCTGGGCTGGGCTGCCTTGAGAGGGCACAAAGCCAGAGAGCCCGCGTCCCCCACTCCCTGCTGGGGCAGATTCCGGAGGCAGCCATTAGGGGGCAAAACTTGGGCCCCTGCCACCCACGTCTAAGACCCATTTAGAGCTCCTGGCTGTCGCTTGGGCCTTTGCAGAAGGAAGACAGTCCTGGCTTTTTCCTGGGGGAGCACGGAGTCCCACGCTCCCCCCGCAGGCGCTGTGAAGTGACCATCCTGTGCCCAGTGCGCCTTTTTGGGCTCCCCAGGCCCCATCTCAGGGCAGTTTGGGACACTCTTAGAGGAGTCCCCACACTTGGACTTGGGAAACTCCCAAGAGACACTATGTCCACAACTAGGGGATATGTTGGCTTATAAATCCCTGCCTGAACAGGCAGCTGCACTCCTTTAAACTGATTGTCTATGCACCAAGCCAGGGGCTGGATGAGCCCTGAGTAGCTGCCTGGGTGAATCAGGGAGTGGGGGGTGGTGCTGTGGAAGGTTCAGGAAGTCGCAGATTCTGAGGGCCCCAGCAGGAGGCTGTGGGCATGGGCATCATGTTTAAGGGCCACCACCACTGGTCAGCCAGGATGGACAGGATGTCAGGGCTGGCTGTGGAGGGAGCAGATGGCCTGGAGGATGAGGGAATGTCTCTGACCTGAGCAGCCACGGTCACAAGGACCAAAGGACCAGGAACAAGGGACAATTCAGTTTTGAGCTTAACCGCCTGACAAGACAATGGTCGCAGCAGAAGGCATGCCCTGGGCATGCCAAGGAGATATTAGTGTGGATGACAGGTTAATTAGGCTGAGAAGGGGGAAGGAAGCAAGGAGAACTAAGGTTGGTGGAAGGGCAGGGCAGAACTGAGGCCAGTAGTGGGAGCTCACAGAGTGTGAGGGCAGCCCAAGTTGGGTCAGGCCCAGGCAAGGCCAAAGCCTGCAAGTACAGTAAATTCAGCCAGGTTGGTCCCCCAGACACAAGCAGAAATGCTGGGAGTCTTGTATGGTCTCTGCTTAGTGGAGCTCTGTGAGGAGGGAAGGGCAGGATTAGGGTCAGCAGCCACATTCCAGGTCTCATTGTGGGTCTGATGTGTGCACTCTGACACATGCGGGTAGCTGGCTTGGAGTTAGGAGCAGCAACAGGGCTGTGAAAGGGTAGGAGGGGAGGTTGCTGTGGCCCATGCTCTGGAGGGTCTCCGGGTTTTAAACATCAGCAACAGGGGACCACCCCATTCTGTTCAGAAGCTGGGGCCTCCATGAATACCGCAGGCTAGTCTCTTTCCCACTCTGCACCCAGCAGCCCCCTGGCTCTGTGTACTCCTCAGAGTGAGGTTGGGGCCAGGTGCATACCAAGAAGGAAGATGCTGACACAAGGCAGTGGCTCAGAGAATGTGTCTTGTACAGACAGGGATCTCTGACACCCTCATCACATCTTTAGGTGGCTTTAAGTCAGGTTTCACTTCTTGGTCCAAAACTGTCTGTACCGTTCCACATCAAAGTCATCATGCAGCTCTGGGTCCTTCTCTTCCTTTGGCCGCAGCTGAGCCTCACGCCTGCGCAGCCGGACCCGGCGTTCCTCAGGAGGCAGGCTGTCCAGGTCCAACGGCATCTATCGGTACAGAGATGTAGCAGACATGAGCACCATAGGGCCTTCCTCTGGCTTTCTGTCTTCTACCCAACCCTAGCTTCCTTTTTAGTTATTTGAGGCAGAGAGGTGAGCAGAGAACTCCCACCTGCTAGCTCACCCCCCAGATGTCTTCTAACCGGCCAGGCTGTGCCAGGGACCAAAACTGAGAACCCCAAGTCCCTGAGCCCTCACTGGTCAGCCTACAATGTGCCCAGCAGGCAGCTGAGCCCTCGCTTGCCAGCCTAGAGCAAGGAGCAGAGCCCAAGTATTCAGACATGGATGTGGGTGTCCAAACCACTACCGTGTCCCTTAGAATTTCTGTTGTTGGTCTTTCCTTTCACAAATGTTATTCTCTAAGGGATTTTGTTTCCTGCTTGCTTCTCTCAATTTTTTTTAATACACAGCTCATGAATCCAACCTGACTTTGGAGCCTAGACTGAATTTGCCCGACTGCTGTCATAGGCACAGTGGCCATGGTTACAAGTGTGTTCTAAGATGGCTGACTCCCCAGCCCTGTGACTGGTCTTGTGCCTGGGGAACGAAGCTTACCACCAGCATTCGTCGTGGCTCCCGGTAGCGGATGTGGATGGTGGAGCCATCTTGCTTGACGAGCAGCACAGGGTAGAGTCGTGCATAGACCTGACGGCGTAGGCGACAGAGAGAGGCCCTGCTACTGTCGGCCCACGGAGGGGACATGTGCAGGCAGCGGCACATAGGGACAGCCGTCTTCATGGCCTTCTGCCACAGCAGGCTGCAGACACACACACAAGTGCTGGTCAGTAGATGGTGAGGGGAAGACACGGGCTGTGGCTGGGTCAGCCCTGATGTAGTGACTTGCAAGAGGCCATGGGGGTGACTGAGGTGCCAACGACAGGGGATCACAACCTTTTGCTGGAAGTCAGGACTTACCCAAGTGGGCTGCCCATAGCTGCCATTGCTCCTCAGAGCCCTGGGGCACACGAGGGCCGCTGGCCACTGGCCCTGATGCTCGACCTGCTGGGTGAGAAAAGCAGATGTTTTGTAAAAGTACTTCTTCTAGTTCTCAAAATATCTGAGCCAGCAATGAAGCCACAGAACAGAAAGGTCTCTGGCAGGCACCCAAGGGGGACAGGTCCAGGACTCATGGACACTATTGTTGGAAGATGCTTGTTGGGCCCAATGTGATGGCCCAGTGGTTAAACCCTTACCTTGCTTGTGCCAGGATCCCATATGGGAGCCAGTTCATGTCCCAGCTGCTCAACTTCCCATCCAACCCCCTGCTTGTGGCCTGGGAAAGCAGCAGAGGATGGTCCAAAGTCTTGGGACCTTGTGCCACCATAGGGTACCCAGAAGAAACCCTTGGCTCCTGGCTTTGGATTGGCTCAGCTCTGGGAGTGAACTAGCAGACAAAGGATCTTTCTGTCTCTCCTTGAGTGTGCTAGCATATTCAGCACACATTCCTACAAAGTTCTAGTTTCTCTGAGGCAGAGAAGCAGGGCTACCCTCTGCTGGTTCACTTTTCAGATGCCCACTGGTTAGGACTGGGCCAGGCCAAAAGTGGGAAACTCAATCCCAGCTTCCATGTGTGTGCAGGGACCAGTCACTGCTGCCTCCTAGGGGCTCTGTGAGCAGCGCTGTGCCAGGCCTTCCGGGGACAAGGTCAGGACTGGGCAATCGCCCACCCCACCCACACACTGCAGGTCCTCTTAGCATGTTTAGCTCAGGCACAGTTTTTCTCCCCCACCCAAATAACGTACACTTGTTTGTACCTGCAGACAGCAATCACAGGTCACCCTCTAGGCTCTCCCAATTACCTGTGGGACTGAGATTAGAACAAAGCAGATATCCAGACCCACTGCCCAAGATTTCTTTAAATGACTGAGTTTACTTATGTGAAAGTGAGAATGACAGACACAGACTCAGCCACCCACGGCTATACTTGCCAAACAGCCAGAGCTGAAACAGCGCAAAGTCAGGAGCTAGGAACTCCACCCGGGTCACACAGGTGTGTGTGTGTGTCGGGGGGGCCCTGGCTGTTTGCCCCGCGGTAGTGGCAAGCGGTATGGGAGGAAGAGCAGCCAGGACCCCCACTGAAAAGTGGCTGGGCCGAGCGCCCTGTGCCACAACGCGGTGCCCCGTCCCTGAGCCCAGGTTTGGCACTCTGCAGCCTTATCCAGCAGGGAAGCCTCTGAGAACGGGGTGTAGTGCAGGAGGGCTGGGAGTGCTGAGTGGGCGGCTCCCCGGCCTTGGCCAGGGTCGGGACATGGATCAGTTTCATTCCCCACCTTACAGAGGACCGGAGGGGTCTGCAGGAGAAGCCCCGGGCGCCCCCCTGCTGCGCTCCCCCAGGCCCTCACCGCGGCGGAAGTCCAGGCCCTCCCAGCCCTCTCGGCTTCCAGCCCCAGAGGCTGCTCCCGGTCAACAGGAGGCGCCAACCTACGGCCGCCACTGCCACCCAGCAGAACTCCGACCGTCCACAGTCCCGAGCCCTGCGGGGCACGCGGGAAGCAACCCGACCACGGGCGCCTCTTAGGGAGGCCTGCGTCGCGCCGCGCTGACGTCCTATGGGGCGGGACCGGCGCAGTGGTGACGTGAGCCCCGGAGCGGCAGCGCGCGGGCAGCCGGGTGCGAGGCGGTTCCGAGGTGCGGAAGGAGGACGGCCGGCCGGACGGGACGGGCTGGAGGTGCGGCCGGGGGACGGACGGGACGGGCGGGACGGGCCGGAGGTGCGGCCGGGGGACGGGCGGTAGCGCTCACGTGTGACAAGGTCCGGCGCTGCCATTTCCGGCTTCTCGCGGGGTGCAGGCTCCAAGAGGTGCCGATTGGGAGCTAGTCCCGGCCCCGAGACCACCTGCTAACAGGCGTGAAAGAATGGAAAGGGAAGAGGCGGGTTTCTGCTAGGCCGAGCGCTCGGTTGAGCTTCGGTCGCGCCTGGGAGGCGGCCTAGTTGAACAAAGGGGGCTGGCGGCCTCGGAAACCACCTCAGCCCCGCAAAGGTGTGCCGTGCCCTAGTGGCTCCCTGCGTGCACGCAGGCATCTTTGCGTAGGCTCCCCGCCGGTAAGTTAGGCAAGAAAACTTTCCACAGGAAGGCACTCCAGTCTGATAATCCTTGGGAACCATCTCCCTAGTCACAGAAAGGGAGCAGAACGCCTCCTCCTCGGAAAGTCCCAGGTAACTAAGCTCTGTCCTGACGGACTCTCCCGCAAGAAGACAAGGACCCATCCCACTCGTCCACGCTAAGCAACTTTGCAGTTAGGGGTCTGGCCCTGCTGAGTCCACGCGAACATACACGGTTAGGGTGATAGTGACAAAGCATTTGTTGCTGGCAAGCTCTGCCTTAGACGTTCCTTTCCAGCCTGGAGAGAAAGGTGTTCAGCTAGATGAGGGACCAGGGACACGGGGCATAAAGGAGCTGGAAACCTAAGGATTGCTCGTTTCTCATGTTTATTGAGTTTCTACCACTTTCATGAAATAAGTGATTGAATACTTTGTGGTTAATGTTGTAATCAGGTTTACACACTCACATAAAAGAGCCTAACACCATACAGTGCTGTTTTTCTTTTGTCTAGCTACACTGCTTCACAACTCTCAGGGATTTGTGTCTTGGGTCATTCATCCAGACCTTGACCCAGGAACACTGATTGAAACTTCTCATATCTAACACTAGATAAGGAGACCACATGCCAGCTTTGCAGGGCTCCTGTGGACCTGTGTCCATCTTGCAAATTACCTTTGGAACCTGTGAGGAAAGCCACGAAGGAATGAGGCCAGCAGTGCTCTGATGGCTACTGACACGTTTATTTCCAGGATTCCAGTTTTTATACACTCAGCAAAGGAACAGTTCACTTAAGGCACCATCACTGAGTTTAATTTACAACCCATGTCAAGTATGTAAGCCGAGGATTCTAGGAAAGCTAACAAGGCACCTTGATCAAAGCATCATTGATGTGGGGAACTAATCAGGAGCACACCCAAGGAGTCGCCAAAGGCAGTGTGCACTCTGGCCAGGGGCCTGCTCTTCCTGGAGCTTCTGTTGAACAGGTTCTCACAGGCATCTATTACCCTAGCTATGTTACCTTGCTGGATGCATTCTAACATGTTTTGTAGTTTGACACGCACTTACCTCAAACACAAAAGCTTACTAATTCTTGATCCTTTGAAAGCAGTAGTCAGCAGCCCAACACCAAAGAGAGATACGACTTTTGAGGCACCAACAGAGGAGGGGGAGCTCAGAGACCCTGTCATTCACTCCCTGCCTCTCACATTTTGTGTCTTGAGCAGAGGGGAATTGTGAAGTATGTAATGATACTGGTGCCTGTTTTCAGTCCAGCTGGTAGTTTTTATTTGTTGGGCAGCAGCAGCTTGGGATGACAGTAGTCCACGTGGGAATGTGTTGTCCAGTCCTGGCTATTTCTTTTCTTCTTCTTCTTCTTTTTTTTTTTTTTTTTTTGTTTTTTTGTTTTAAAGATTTATTTTATTTTTATTGAAAAGGCGGATATACAGAGAGGAGAGACAGAGAGGAAGATCTTCCGTCCGATGATTCACTTCCCAAGTGAGCGCAACAGCCAATGCTATGCCGATCCGAAGCCAGGAACTTCTTCTGGGTCTCCCGCGCAGGTGCAGGGTCCCAAAGCTTTGGGCTCTCCTCCAGTGCTTTCCCAGGCCACAAGCAGGGAGCTGGATGGGAAGCGGGGCTGCCAGGATTAGAACCGGCACCCATATGGGATCCGGGGCGTGCAAGGTGAGGACCTTAACCACTACGACACCGCGCCAGGCCCATCTTTTCTTCTTTTTAACATGTATTTATTTTTATTGGAAAGGCAGATATGCAGAGAGAAGGAGATTCAGAGAGGAAGATCTTCTGTCCAATGGTCCACTTCCCAAGTGGCTACAATGGCCAGAAGCCAGGAGCTTCTTCTGGGTCTTACACACAGGTGCAGGGTTCCAAGGCTTTGGGCCATCCTCCACTGCTTTCACAGCCCACTTGCAAGGAGCTCGATGGGAAGTGGGGCCACCAGGAATTGAACTGGCTCCCATATGGGATCTTAGCACTTGCAAGGCCAGGATGTTCACTAATAGGCTACAGTGCTGGGCCCAATAAACAATTTTTTTTTTAAGTGTCTTTTCAGTGTTCCTCAACTGGCTCCTGACTGTCAGTTGTGATGGGTCTCAAACACAGGACACTCTGTTCTGGGATAAAGGTGTCCCCAGACGTGTCTTAATTTTGTGCCAAATGCCCTCTTTCCTTTCAGTTTCAAGCCAGTTGGTTGAGCTGTTTCCAGGCAGTATGCAGCCTCCATAATCTCCCTTCTGATAAATCCACTGTTATCTGCTGCTTCAGAACTGAGCATGCCTGGGCTGGGGACAGGGTAGGGTGGCTCTTGGTGAGCTGGCCGCTATGTGGGACACTGGCATAAGCTAAAGGGAGTGTCCCAAGTAGCTTGGGACAGAACACCAAGACCAGATTATCTTCTTGGAAGTTGACAGTGTTGGGCACACACCACTGTCTTGGCATCACTTCCCCTCTGGCCTTCCCTTGGCACCTGACTTTTACCATCCTCACTTGGACACACATTTCCGTAGTGGTTTTATTTTATTTTATTTTATTTTATTTTAATTAAAGATTTATTTTTATTGGAAAGGTAGATTTACAAAGAATAGGAAAGACAGAAAAAAAATCTTGCATCTGTTGGTTCACTACCCAAATGGCTGTAACAGCGGTAGCTGAGCTAATCTGAAGCCAGGAGCTTCTTCTAGGTTTTTCATAAGGGTATAGGTTCCCAAGATTTGGGGCCATCCCCTACGGTTTTCCCAGGCTATGAGGAAGGGGTTGAATGGGAAGTAGAGTGATTGGGACATGAACCGGTGCCCATATTGGATGCTGGCCCTTGCAGGCAGAGGATGAGCCAATTGAACCATCACGTTGGGCCCTCTCAGCATTTGTTTCGAATGCAGTTCTCAGGAGAGTATTTCTAGAATATCTGGGATTGGGAAGCTGTATGCACACCAACTGTAATAGGCTTATAGTCACCGCCTCCATCTTAAGGGCAGAGACATGTATTAAGAGATGGATTATCAGGCAAGTATGGTAGACTAGTAGCTAAAGTCCTTGCCTTCCATGCATTGGGATCCCATTTGGGTGCCAGCTCATGTCCTGGAGGCCCTACTTTCCACCCAACTTCCTGCTTCTGGCCTGGGAAGGCAGTGGGGGACAGCCCAAAATCTGGTGACCCTGTACCCACACGGGAGATCCAGAAGAAGCTTCTGGCTCTTGGCTTCAGATTAGCTCAACTCCAGTCATTGTGGCCGCTTGTAGAGTGAATCAGTGGGTAGAATATCTTCCTCTGCATCTCTCCTCCTCTATGTATATCTAACTTTCCAGTAAAAATAAATCTTTTAGAAAAAAATAAAAGAAAGAAATGGAGTATCAGCTCAAACTTAGAATTTTTTTTTTAATTTATTTATTTGTTGGAAAGTCAGATATACAGAGAGGAGGAGAGACAGAGAGGAAGATCTTCCATCCAGTGATTCACTCCCCAAGTGAGCGCAACGGCTGATCCGAAGCCAGGATCCAGGAACTTCTTGGTTTCCCACACGGGTGCAGGGTTCCAAGGCTTTGGGCCATCCTCGACTCCTTTCCCAGGCCACAAGCAGGGAGCTGGATGGGAAGTAGAGCTGCTGGGATAAGAACCGGCACCCATATGGGATCCCAGTGCATGTTCAAGGTGAGAACTTTAGCCGCTAGGTCACGCCGCCGGGCCCAGAATTTTCTTTTTTTTAAGGTAGAGTAACATAGGAAAAGACATATTTCATCTGCTGTTATATTTCCCAAATGGCCACAGCACCCAGCACCCAGGTCTGAGCCAGGCCAGAGCCAGGAGCCAGGGATTCCATTCTTGTCTCACTTATGGGTGTAGAGGCCCAAGCCTGAGCTTTCCCAGGAGCATTAGCAGGGAGCTGGATTAGAAGTGGAGAGCTGAGACTCAAGCCAACACCCATATAGGATGCTCTGCTGCAGGTGGTGGCTTCCTGTGCTATGACGCAGTGCTGGACACAGGCCTCAGATGTGTCCTTCCCCTTCACTCCTGCCAAGTCTCGTGCAAGTGAACACAACCTTCCTTGATTTAGGGAGGAAAGTAGCAGGTAGAAGCATCTCCCTCTGTCTTTTTTTTTTTTTTAAAGGCAGATCAGGTTTACAGAGAGAAGGAGACAGAAGGATCCTCCTTCTGCTGATTCATTTCCCAAGTGGCTGCAACAGCTGGAGTGGAGCTGATCCAAGGCCAGGAAGCAGGAGCATCCTCTAGGTCTCCCATGCAGGTGCAGGGTCACAAGGCCTTGGGCCATCTTCTGCTACTTTCCCATGCCACAGAGAGCTGAAAGGGAAGCCAAGCAGCCAGGACATGAACCCGTGCCATTGGTGATGCCATGCCGGCACTTGCAAGGTGAAGACTTAAGCACTAGGCCATTACACTAGACCCTGTCTCTGCCTTTTAAAGAAAAAAGTTGTCATACTAGTCCATAGATGAG